GCTTGTTCAGTATCTCAAGCCAGAAAGATGAATTAATTCTTGAAGGAAATGACATTGAACTTGTATCAAATTCAGCTGCTTTAATTCAGCAAGCCACAACAGTTAAAATCAAGGATATCCGAAAAATTTTGGATGGTATCTGTGTCTGAAAAAGGAACTGTCCAACAGGCTGATGAGTAAGATATAAAAGCTATCCAGCTATGGAAACAAGGCCCGATTGATTCCTTGGAAATCTTATACAGGGTCGCTATGAGTTGGAACCAATTCGAAGGCACTTAACAACAACAGCAAAGCATACGTAGCAACATCCCACACACACCTACCTTTTATTTGTTAATTTATTTTGCTATGGCAAATATTTTTCCATCCTTTTATTTTCTATTTTTCTGTATCTCTGTGTTTGACATGTTGGTATATAAATAGCAGATCATTTGATTTTGTTCAATCATGTGGGACAATCTTTTTTTAAAAGGGCAAGGATAGAAAACTTACATTTAAAGTACCTGAGTTGCAATCTCTGGTGGTGGTGTGCCGTGGAGTCAGTTCTGACACATAATGACCCTGTGTAGGGTTTCCAAGGTTGTAAATCTTTATGGTAGCAGAAAGCCTCACCTTTGTCCCATAGAACGGCTGGAGGTTTTGAACTGCAGATCTTGAGGTTAGCAGCCCGACTCATAACCACTACACTACCAGAGCTCCTTAGTTTTAATGTGCATCAGGTTTTGTTTTGGTTTTGGTCAATAATTCTTTAAGCAACAAGCTTTCAAATTCAGAAAAGAGATTATTAACCCTAATGAGTTTATTTTTTCTGATATGTGTATAAGTGTGCAAAGATTTATGAAGTCTTCTCATCCTTTATTAGTCTCTGACTATGGTGTAATGAATAGAGATCCAGGGATTAAAATACACTCAGGACAATATTTCTAATCTGATGTTTGGGGAATTTGGCTTGCAACTGTGTTCTTTCCTATGATTTACCTATCTAAAGTCAATAAGCACTGTATTAACAAATCACCTCTTAATATATCTCTTTTGCAAAATACTATAGAAGTTTCATTTTTTATTCCAGGGCTGTGAGTCCCAGATGAGCATGTCAGAAATGTCCTGTAGTGAAAGTGCAGCCTCATGTCAGTCTCTTGAACACGGCTCAGTTCCAGAAATCCTCATTGGCCTGCTTTATAATGCCACAACTGGAAGACTATCAGCAGAAGTAATAAAAGGCAGCCACTTCAAAAACTTGGCAGCAAACAGGCCACCCAGTGAGTGAATTTTTTTTTAATTCCAGTGTTTCTGTGCTTGTGGGGTCTTGGTGTTCGGGGCTTCAGTCTTATCGTAAGTTTGAACCAATCAAAATGAAATGGTATCATAATCAGGTAATCTGTTTCATGTTTTCTAGTTCTAGTCTATTGGAAAGTAGAAAAAAATTGAAATTCAAAATATTAATTGTAAGATAACATGACTTTTTAAGCTTTCATAGTGACTGCAGAAGAAATCGCCCCCATCTAGTCCTTATACTCCAATGGTGGGAAAAGGTACAGGTTTTATAAGGTTTTTTTGAAAAGTGAATAGTATTCCACAAATATTCACAGGAATGTGGATTGCTGTTGTTAACAGAAGACAGTTGTTGCATTTTCTGTCTGCATGCAGTACTATGAAATAATATGTATTTGCTTCTGTATTGTCCTTTTCTCCCATAACAATGAAAGAAGAAATTGTTTCTTCGCATATTTTTCTTCTTTAAAACCAAAAACTAGTACTGCCAGCAGTTGTTGTTGTCAGGTACCATCAAGTGAATTTGAACCACTGACCTTGCAGGTTAGCAGTTCATTGCTTATCCTATAGCACCAAACCAGAACTTCTAAAATGGAATAACTTTTGTCTTTGCCAGGACAGAGCAAGGCACAGTTTGCTACTACCCTAGATGTTTCACCCAACTCAGGACATACAAAGAAATTTGTCGCTCAGTGATGTACCTCCAAAACTGATTGTTGATACCTATGAAAGATAAACTGGAAAAGTAACAGTCTCTTTATACTTTGCTAAAATCAAAGCTGTTGGTGTCCTAAACTAAATGGAAACCTTAAATAATAATACCCCTTAAATCTGTGTAAAGTTTTCCCACAAACTTGCATAAAGCAGTTTCCTTGTCCAAGTTACACATAATTACTGAAAGAGGGAAAACTTGACACCCATGGAATAAAATAACTCTACTTCTAAGCATCTTTATAATGTCAGATGTAAACTGTCCTTTATTCAGTGTTGAAATCTCATAAAAAATAGGTATTACGTCTGCCCCAAATAATATTAAACCTTACTTCTTACATACATCACGGGATATGTCTATCCCTGAATTAAAAGTTAGAAGGCTAAAATTGTACTCATATTTATATTATTGGACAAGTGACCGAACTTCTTTTTTTCTTTATGAGTGAAAGTAAAATTATGTCTCTCTCAAGATTATTGTGAGACTGAAATCAGATAAAGATGCACAAAAGAAGGATGCAATTATTATTGGCTCCCTTTTATTTCAGAAGGAAAAATTCAGAGGGAGGGAAAAAGCAATTACTATAATAAACAGATTCAAAAGTGACTTAATTCTCTTCATTTGCACACACGTTGAATGCAAACTCAGATGGCCTGGGAGGTAATGTTAATGAGTGAAATTTGTAGTTGGAAAATATGGAGCGTGGGCAGGTCTGAGCCAAACTCAAGAAAGTACACATATCCTGCCTTCAGACATTGAGATTCAAAGCATGTTGTATACCATACCAGATAAACTTTATTTGGGATCACATTTAGTCACCAACTCTAGCAACTTGCCACTCTTGAGTTAGTTACAGTTTAATTTTTAAAAAATGAAGAAATATTTCAATGAATATGCTAAAAAGTAGCACAATGAAATGTTTGACTTTCTGCCCTTGTGGCAGCCACTCTGATAGAACAGAATTCCTCAGAACTAAAATGAGGAGGGGAAGTGGTAGATAACAAACAAGTAAAGGAAGATTGGCTTGTCTCTAGAATAGACACTAGTATCCTAAACACCCAAGAATCCCCTAAATTGTAGCATCCACATTATGGAATGAATCTTCCAGGTTAAAGAGTAAATTATCACAATTACTTTACTTTAGAATTGGATCTTTAGTGTCAGGTGGTTAAAGATGTTTTCTGGGGGGTAACTAGTGAGTATATATATATATAGTAAATAAAATTTTTAAATAATTATATGAAAATGGAGTATTTATAGAATAAAATATAAGCTAGTCTTACCAATTTGTTCTAAACTGTATCTATTACATAAGATTGGAACCTTCATATAGACCAAGATTGCAAACTTTCTGAAACTATGGACTGAGTAATCCAGTTTTATCTAAAGAAATAATAGCAAGCAACCTTCAAGACAAAAATTCTGATAGTTACATTTTGTTTTGTATAACTTAATTTTATACTACCTTTTTAGAAATAAAAATATTTAAAATATTAAATGCTATATGTATAAACTTAACATTCAGGATATTACTACTAATAATAACACTATAATGACTTTTATTCAGTCTTTTATAGTCTAATAATTTGCATGACTCTATGTTCAGTGTGTCTTAGACCAAGAGGATGTCGTTATAAAGATGTCCCCTTTTTAAAAGGTATAATTTTTGTTTGACATTATACAATGACCTTAAAAATTCTCATTCCATGAAATTTACCCAACAACCCTTTTTGTTCAGCCCTCTACCTGAATTAAAATGCTAAAGTTTTGTATTCTTCCACTCCAATGAAAAGTGTTTCCTCTTTAATTCTAACCTTTGACCCTCTCTCACCCAACAATTGACATCTGGTCATTATTTCTTTTACTGCTTTCCACCCCCTGTTGTCAGATGGACTGTTCTGTTGTCTAAAACACTTGATAGGTGGACAGGTTTATATAATCCGAGGTGAGTTCCTGTAGAGACTAATTGGATGTTGTCTTTTCATGCAAAAATAAAATGCCCTAAAACTTGCCAGCAGTGAAGCTGTCCACCATGTTGGTTTCCAAAAACAAAAAACAAAAACACTGCACATTTATTATCTGTGGTACTTAAAGTAAAACTTAGAATTTATCTCTGATTATGGATGATGGTATTCAGAATATCTATAAACAAGCAAAACTTTTTTTAAATAAAAGTTTTCATCTTTTCATTCATTATGTTTTGACTCATAGAACAGAAATAAAGGAGTTATTTTGTAAGAAATATGACAATTTTCTCTCAAATTAATCGAAATTTTGATATGAAGTACACATGATGGATCAACATGCTGAAGATCATTTGCATGAGTCTTAAAAACTTGAAGAAACAATCTTTTACAAAATTTACCTCCTAAATAATGAGACAATGAACTTTCCACATTTCACTTTGAACACTAACCATCACATCATTGTTTTATATAATTCATGAAAATTCTCAAGTTATCATATTTTAAACCACGTTAAATTGTGCCAAAAAGAAACTGTATGGCATATATTTTAATTAGTCAAAATTCACATTAAATGTTCTTCTGCATGAAACCAGGAGAGAACTTTACTTGGTTTGCTAAAATTTGAGCCCTTAATGTATTTGGTTTCATTTGGGCCCTTAAGTGTTTTAAATACATATTTTAAAAACCACATCCATGCAGAGATTTCTTTGACATTTCATCCTAAGCTATTTTGATGTCATCTTTGCATTCTTGTCTTCTTTTCCTCTTCACCATTTGCCTTCATTTCTGTTTGTTTGTTTATTCTTATTCTCTGAAAACACAGTGGAATGCTTTACAGTGTTGTGGCTAATTAAGCTTGCTAAGTGTTTATTAATGCTATGATGTCCTGCTTATTGAAGCTAAATGGGAATGGGCAGGGGTGGTGGTGGGAGGTCAAGGATGGGTGGGGTGGGAGGTTGGAGGAAGGATTATGAGGTATACCTTCACATTCTAACTAAAATGTAGAAATAGTGAGGTTAAGATATTACTACCAAAAAAAAAAAAAACCAAAATACTTTCTGGCTACTTAACTCATTCACATTTTTTAAGCATCTACATCAAAATGGAATTGGTTAAATTTCCATTAAATCTGGTATACACCATATCCTTATAAAGTGTAAAATATTTAATCTTAGGAAACGTTGCAAGAGAGTTGTTTTGAGTTTGTTTCAAATGATGTTTGTGGTATATTGTTGTTGTTTTTCTGTAGATACTTATGTTAAGTTAACTCTACTGAATTCCATGGGCCAGGAAATGTCCAAATGCAAGACATCAATCCGCAGAGGACAGCCAAATCCAGTATACAAGGAAACCTTTGTTTTTCAAGTGGCCCTATTTCAACTTTCTGATGTGACACTCATACTATCTGTATATAACAAACGCAGCATGAAAAGAAAAGAGATGATAGGCTGGATTTCTTTAGGTCTGAACAGCTCTGGAGAAGAAGAACTCAATCACTGGACTGAAATGAAGGAGTCCAAAGGACAGCAAGTCTGTAGATGGCATGCGTTATTGGAGTCATGATGAATAGGATAAAGGAGGATGCTCAATCCAAGGCAGCATTGTTTCTGATCAGAACATCACTGTTTTTATCTAGCTACCATTTGAAGACCTATTCTTGGAAGAATCATATTCAACGTTCTACCAGAAAGCTTTAAATTTTGTGGAAAAAACTTTGAATGTTTACACTCTGATAGAGTTTGGGGGAAATGAGGAATTTAATTGTTGTTAAATTAATAATCCTCCAGAGACTGAGTAACATGCTTTTGGTTTGAAATTTATTTTACTTTAGCAGAAGTACTTGTAATTTCATTAAAAATCAAAATTATAAGTCAATAATAAAAAACAACAACAAATCATTTTAGTTGCAATACTATTTCAGTACCACTCTGCACCCTCCATAGGACATGATTTGTCAGGCCAATCCTGGATGTTTATAATCTTCTTTAATATGAAAAAGTAGTTCTCCAGTTCTTTCTTAAGTCACAAGGATTTCAAGCACATTGAAAATTGTTTTATTTCAGGTATCTCCTCTTTGTCCTCTGAGTTTCATTGTGCCTCAATTCTTCACAATAGCACCAAATCTAAGTTCAAGCAAGTATTCATTGTCATAAAAGAATTTTTTTACATGTTATTAAGAAAAATAAAAAGGTCCGTTTTTTTTTTTGCTTCTGCTTTTGCCTGATCCAAAGAGATCAAGTCACTGTACTGGTCCCTTGCAAGTCTTTTAGGCAGGTTGTACTATAGAACTATGTAACTTTCTGTTGAAAGCACTTCCTGTATTCTTGTATTCCAATGTAGGAAGCTAATAGAGCAGGACTTTACAATTTCTTTCAGTGATTGCCTCTTTAAACTTGTGGTAATGTGAAAATACATTTTTTTTTTTTTTTTACAGAGTGAAAAAATGCAGTAGCTAAGCTGCTGAAAATTGGAAACTCAAGCTAAAGAAAATTTTAATTATCTGCTCTGAGTATTTTAGTAACCCAAACTGAAATAAAGCAGGTAGCATTCAAAATAAAGTGTTCAGTCTGTAAATGTTCACTTTTACTTCAAATTTATATTTGTGATATAAAGACTATTCAGTTCTCAGTCAGGATCAGGACATCATGGTAAAAACTGTTCTGAGAAGCCTACTGACGTTTCTAGCAACTTGTGACGAGATTTTATGAAATTTTACAGGTACGTTCTTCAACATAATGTCATCCTGTGCCTTTCACGGAAGTTCAGCTTGCTCGTGCAGCTTAAAAGTTGTATTTGCAAAAATAGGCCTTCGATTTTTTTAAGAGTAAAGATTCCTCAGAACGGTGTCACAAGATCTGTCTTTCCTCTGAGTTTTGTAGCAGTTGTATATTGAACTAATGTTTTTTAATGGCAAGGCGCTTTCATTTGTTAATTTTATATTTCAGCACTCTGATTAATCAAGAATATCATAAACTGCTTTCTTTTTAATTTTGCGTCTTACCCAGTATATAACTTTATGCATATACTTTACCTGGAGTATGTTTTGTATATATGAAAAATACTTTCTTTTTTCTCTTTCTCATTTCTAGTTAAACTAGACAAGAAAAAAAAAATTTTTTTTTTACCAATAACTAAAAGGCAGTATGTTCCTAGTCCCAACTACCATCTCTTATTCTAAACTAAAATTTGTTATTACTATAATAACAAACCCATGCATAGAAGTGACCTCTTCACTTGGCTATTCTGAAAGCTTTAAAAAGAAATCCAAAAAGACACTGAGCTCCTAATATTTTTTAGTTTAAAAAATAGCATCTCTATATATTCATATACATAAATTATAAAAAAAAATACAAGTGGTATCTATATTGGACAGCATGATGTTTAAGAATGCATATTAGGGAGTTGTATTAAAGGGGGGAAATCCATTCTTTCTTTGTTCAGCAATGAGCATTTTTTCAGAGTTTTAAAATAAATAGCTAGTTTATAGAGTTAGAAAATTAATCACACCATATACTATTTTATTTAAGCATTGTTATCAACAATATGATAAAAGTTGAAAAGAAGATACAGATTTGACTGAGAAATTGGTTTTAGGCATTTAATGCTACAGGTATTCTCTTTTTCTGACTTTGAGACAACCGACTACATTGCTCACAACTGAGATTCTCTTCATAAAAAGAACGTCAGTCTTACTTATAGCTGTAACAGAGCCCAACCACACATTAATAAGACCACCTTGGTGCTTTCACCTTTAGTGAGAAAAAAAAGACACAACTAGATGTCATCTGTTAAGCTACTTTTCTTCCAATTATTCCCATAACTGTGTATGCTTTCTTACATCTTTAGGACTTTATCTAGCATAAGAATTAAATCCAGAATTGCCTAAGAATTAACCAACAATTAAAGAAAAATCAAGAAAGATCCTACCTCCACCATAGTTTCCAAGTCCTCAATGATTATAAATTATCTGTATGTTTGTGTGTGTCAATGTATATGCACATACACACAGCATATTTTTAAGACTTTTTTAAAGAGAAAATACCCTGGCTTTTTCAGATAACTGAAGAGAAAACATTTCTCAAGTTTACAGATGATTTTTCTCTTCTGTATACTTACTGGGAATTACATTTGGTTTGGGGTGCTATCTGCTGCCGTTCTCCTTCACACATAGCAAAATACACATCTTTGTATCCTGTGGATTGACACAACTTAGTGTAATTACTCCCCCAAAAATGTCTATTCTTTTTGAAAAGGATTAAATAGGGCTCAAGAGACCCACTTCACTCTACTGAATCTAATGTGCAAGACAGTACTACTGCTTTTTTGTGTGCTTGAATTTGCATGAAAGCTTAGAGGCAAAATCCTATATTTCAGTAATTATAGCAAATGGGGGCCCACTGGTGGGCAGCAGGTGTTGGCTCAGAAACTTGAAAAAGACAACGCACTTTCTTGTTGTTTGGTGAAAGTCCCCTAAGTTTTATAATAAAATAGTCCAAATATGGCAACTGACAGGTATTGATGGGAGCTCCTGATCCTGGAATTACAGCCTTTATTTGTCTCCCAGATGAGCTGCAAAGTGCAGTTGTTTATTACTGCCCAGGAAACAAAGTCTATTTCAAATCTGTAAAAATGTGTTTAGTATAATATTCTCCTGACCTATCAGAAGCATTCTGACATAACTTTACGTCTTCAGTCCCAGCTAAATCTTACATGAAATTTATTTGCATATTTTCTTACCAGGCATTCAGCGAATCCTCAGCAATGGTGTATTTAGTGGCAAAAGTAATAAATTGAGTCACAGTTTTAAAAATGAAAATCCAATGAGAAGATATCCAAGCTTCCCTGATTAATATGTTATTATTAGCTGTCATCCAGCCAGCCCCAGACTCATAATATAGAAAGTTCATGCATGCACAACAGGAACTGACTCGTGATCCACAGGATTTTCACTGACATCTCAAAAATAGGTACCAGACTTTTCTTCTTAGTCTGCCTCAGTCTGAAAGCGCCCTCGTGAGCCCTGTTCATCATCTTAGTAACATACAAGCCACCATTCACCAATGAATGATGACGGTGTTTGAGGTGCATAGACTGAGAATCAAACCCTGGGCTCCCATATTGTTGTTGTTAAGTGCCGTCGAGTCGGTTCTGACCCATAGCGACCCTGTACAGGGTTTCCAAGAGTGTAAATCTTTACAGGAGTAGAAAAACCTCATCTTTCTCCCGCGGAGCGGCTGGTAGTTTCGAACCGCTTATCTTAAGGTTCACAGCCCAATTCGTAACCACTACGCTACCAGAGCTCCTTTGGGCTCCCACGTAGAAGGTGAGAATTTTATCTTTGAGCCCTAACTGCCTCCTGCTAATATACATGCTTAAATTTAGGGCCTTAACAGGCACTTTTCTCCAGACTAGTGCAGATGCTGTATGTTGCTACATATTGAATCAAATTTTGAATTACCATCATTTTTATTTTGCTTATCAAGTGAATCAGAAGCAAAATCAATGATTTGTTGTAATATAGTGTTGGAGAGATCTAGCACATCATGCACTGCTGTATTTAATTCTTCCAACTCTATGAAGTAAGTAATATTACCCACATTCTGCAAAGAAAGAAACTGCAGTCTAAAGAGGCTAAACTAACTTGCCCCAAGTTATCCAGTAAGTAAGCAAGCAGCAGGACTAAGATTAGAACACAGGTGCAAGTTACTATGTTATTTATTCCCATACTCTTTGCCACTCTGTGTGTTGTAATTGTATCCCTCTTTACAAACTGCAGGAAAAACAACAATAGTATGTTCATCAATAATCCCACCCACATTAAACTATGTTGAATAGCATTGTTGTTAAGTGCTGTGGACTTGCTTCTGTCTCATAGCGACCCCTATATAGGATTTCCAAGGATTGACTGGTGGGTTTGAACCACCGACCTTACTGTTAGCAGTCCAGTGCTTATCCTACAGTACTGCAGACTGGGGAGAAAAGGAAACACAGCTCAGGAAAGAGAAATAAAAGATAAAGGGGAAAAAAAATCATAGAATTTCCCCCCTCAGGGTAAAGTCATCGATAAAGTATGACACAAAAATACCATTTTCAAAGACTGGGGTCAGTTTATTTAATTAGTTTATATGCTGAAAGCCTGTTAATTAATGTGTTCTGTTCTCTGACCACTTTTATGAGTCTGTGATGTTTCAATTGTATATGATCACCTTTCTATCTGTGAAGTAGATAACTGTGTCTGTTAACCTATAGTTTACCGCTCTCAGAAATGAGAAGGAAAACTTGTTTTCTTCTCTACTTCTATTGGTTCTTTATGTTTCTTATCTACCCCATTATAAGATGAGTGTAATCATAGCTAGTCTGATTACAGATGTCTCTATATCCCCCTCACCTGGTACAGTAGAGTCGATTCTGACTTACAATGATCCTATAGAGGAGTCCTCAGCTGCCAACCATTAAGTTAGTGATTCAGACCCACCAGCTGCTCCAAGGAAGCAGTTGGCTTCCATGAAGATTTGCCACCTTGGAAGCTGTAAGGGGCAGACCTCCTCTATCCAATAGGGTATCTATGCTATCTCCTCCTATTGTTATTGCTGTTAAGTGCTGTGGAGTCAGTTCCGACTCATAATGACCCTGTATAGGATTTCCAAGGGGCAGCTGGTCAGTTTGAACCACTGACATTGCAGTCAAGTGCTTATCTTCCAGCGCCACACCAGGACTCCTAGGTAGGAGCACTTCCTTATTCTTATGGGTTAGGTGTTGGTTTGCTAACCTCAGGATCACTGGTTTAAACCCACCAGGCTCTTTGAGTAAGAAAGATGAGTCTGACTGCTCCCATAGATTTACGGTCTTGGAAACTTACTCTTCATTGGATTGCTATTAGTCAGACTTGACTTGATGGCATTGGGTTTGGTTTTAGTTTTTATGATTCACTCATAGTAGGTTGTTATTGGCTGGCGAGTTGTGTGCCGTGGAGTCGGTTCCGACTCAATTGCGACCCTGTACAATCTTTACGGGAGCAGAAAGCCTCTTTCTTCCCAAGAACAGCTGGTAGTTTTGAACTGCTGACCTTGTGGTTCGCAGCCCAATTCGTAACCACTACGCTACCAGAGCTCCTTTAGGTTGTTGTTAAGTGCCTTCAAGTCAATTCTGACTCAGTGACCCTGTGTAGGACTACCAGGGCTGTAAATCTTTTTCAGGAGCAGAGAGAGCTTCATCTTTCTCCCGCCATAGTGGGTACTTTAGAGATAATAAAGTCCCTTTGGAAGAAATCAGTAATACTGTTAAATAGAAATTTCACTATCTATGAATCCTATGTTATACCTGGATTTTTTATTCCTTCACTTAATAAATCCTTATGAGTACCCACTCTATCCTATGTGCTATTCTAGGAGAGCTGCAGAGAGAATAAATTTGATAGATGTATTCTTTACTTTGTGGGAGCTTGTGTTCTAAGGTGAGCAGACAGTTCCAGAATGATGTCATTCAGTCTAGAATGACTAAGTGTTAAGATAAAGGCATGCACAGAGTATTTGGGGAGTTTGGATAGGAGCACAGCGTGGGAGTTCAGAAAAGTCTGCCTGAAGAGATGACCTGAATTGGGTCTTAAAGAACAATCTGTTGTTATTGTTGTTGGGTGCCGTGGAGTCTATTCCAACTCCAAGGAGCGGCTCATGGGTTTGAACCCCTGACCTCGCAATTCAAACCAACCTTGTGGTCCAGTGTTTATCATATAGCACCACACCATGACTCCCATAAAACTCCAGGACACATAAGGACGAAATATCAAGCAGTGATTCACAAATTTTAGTGCGTTTTTGAGGATTATCTTTAGAACTTAAC